TGACAGTAAGGGTACTTTTACAGTTGAGTCAGGCTACAGAACCTTTGAGTCTCTACTAGGAGTGCAGATCGACCATTGAAGTTAATCTGGGAAACCAAAATTCCCCTCAAGGGTAGCATGTTTTGGTTGAATTGCAGAACATGAGACTTGTCTCACTCATGACTCGTGATAATTTGATGAAGACAGAATTTCCACTCACAATTCATGATAATTGAATTTGTTAATCATCTTTTTCTTCACTATTCAGTTGTAAGTCAGATGCCATACTTGTCTCAACTTGCTCAACTTAAAGTTGGTAATGCCCAAAGACTTAAAACAATCCTTATGGCATGGGGCTGGAAAGGGGGAAAAGTACAGAACAGCAGCCAAAACATCTAGGAAGCAATTCATTGATGCATATTTTGTGTTATATGGAATGAAAAATTCAGAGGATATTTAAAGACAGAAAGCAGGTAGGGCAGCGACGGAAGTCTTGTCTTTGAGTTTTGCCCTTTCAACGTAAAAATGTGGAGATATTTAGTTTAGACGTTATGCTGGAATTGAGTTGTAATATATGCCAAAGATCTCTAATTCTTTTCTGAAGTTTAAGTGTGATATCAATGCGTGGCAATCTTTCTTAAGTCGTTTTAAACACTTGGTATGCTCTTCCAATAGATCAAAGTACGTAACCCTCATGATAACCTCAATTCAACACCAGCAATCTTTCAAGACCAGATATGATTATGTACATGCATAGCAAAACGCCGTTATTTTATTGGCAAGTATAAGGTCAAAAACATTAGCGTCCTATCTGAACCAATAAATATATTATTCGTTAAATGGAGAAGAAACTTCAATCTTGAATCTACCTCGTAGTCTTCATTAAATATTTACTTATTTTCTGATACATTAACCGATATCCGGCTCCGAGCCATAAGATTGACTAAATTATGAAATACCTTTAGAATGCACAGATTTACTGCAAAATTCTGTCTCATGAAGAAAAAAACTAATTTCCAGAAGCACAGAAGCACTCTCACTTCAACAACACTAACTCTTCATGAAACTGTAGCGTGCTTTTCTTGTACAGGGAAATAGACAACCAAATTACTAATTCATCATCCTACTTTCTCCTTTTTTGACTACGGAGTGACGAGAAGTTGTTTTCTTTTTCCTTCCCGGGGTAGGGAAATGGTACTTAGTTAACAGCAGTATCAGGTTGGAGCTTGAAATGGTGTCAATGCCAAATAAAGAGAAGGTCTGTCAATGGCGAGGATGATTTTGACAGATTCCTATACTATGAGTAAACATTTTACTAAAAACAATTCATTTGGTGGAATTACAAAGCACAATAGAGGAAAGCTTTCCCCTTTTGGAGTCTGAATAAAGATAGAACTACAATAAAACAACAACAACGACAATATCTCAATCCCAAACAAGTTGTATTTAACCATATATATGAATCTTATCCATCAATTCCACCGTACAAAGCAAAAGCTACAATACAAAGATAAAAGTCAATAAGAGGAAAAGCTGATAATGTACACCATAGAAAGCTTTCATCTTTTGGTGTCTGAACAAAGATAACTACAATAACTACTACGCTTCAATATCACACTAGTAGGAGTCAACCATATGGATCCAATGTAAGTATACCACTTTAGAAAGCAAAAAGTAGAATACAAGAATAAATTCAATTAGAATAAAAACTGACCTGTGGGGAAAAAGGCAAGCAGCTACACCATTTTGGAGGTGGATCTCAGCAGATTCAGCAGCAGCCACAGAAGGAAGAATAACATGTGTTGTAAGCAGCAGATTCCGGTGGATCAAGAAACCAGTGCCACTTGCACCTATAAGAGCCATAGCAGGACCTTTGCTTGAAAAAATGGTACCTTTCATTTTCTCAGACTTGCCACCCCCATTACAAAAACACCAAGATTCTACTAAACCCACCATTTTTATAGCTTTAATTCAAATGGGGTTCTTTTAAATCAAGAAAAGATTGTAACTTTAAATCCAGGACTGAAGCTGAAATAGCATTTTAGCTGAAAATGTCACCTCCATTACAGATAAACCAAGATTCTACTAAACCCGCCATTATTACAGCTTCCACTCAAATGGGATTCTTTTAATCAAGAAAAGATTGTAACTTTAAATCCAGAACTGAAGCTGAAATAGCATTTTAGTTGAAAATGCCACTCCATTACAGAAACGCCAAGATTCTACTAAATCCACCATTTTTATAGCTTTAATTCAAATGGGGGTCTTTTAAATCAAGAAAAGATTATAACTTTAGATCCAGAATTGAAGCTTAAATTGCATTTTAGCTGAAAATGTTTGTGGCATCTGCCAGGTAGCTTCAGACAAGTCTGTAATTAAGGGGTGTGGTAACTATCATTGAAATAGTAGATACAGATATAGAAAGAGAGTGTATTGCAGAGAAATGGGGAACATGTAGCTCAAAATATGCTTAAAAGGGGATTTTTCAAATCCGAAATATAGGGGAAAATGTAAATTTCCTGTCAGAGAAAGAAAGCACAGGTATATGCAGGAGACAGGAAACTGCAGACATGGTAAGTCTTTTTTTAAAATTATTTCTTTTGTTCAAAATTTAGAATAAGCGAAAAAAGATTTACATAAACAGAAAGATTGAATTAGTTTAATCATCAAAGAATGAAACATAAGTGATGGTAAGTGGTAACACAATATACTATTGTGGACAATATTAAGTAATCAATATTAGTATCTGTTTAACTAAAAAAAAACATAATATACTATTGTGCTGCTTCTTTTTCTGTCTATCTTTTTCAGAATTACTAGTATTATTTTGGTGCATTTACGTTGTTCACGTTTATGTCTTCTTCTTTATTGAACATTCTCCCACTCAACCCCACCGTCAACACTTATTCCAAGGAAAGCACTGTATATTGTTGCTAATGTTGTAGAAAAGAGAAGGATAAACTCTTAAAAAAAGAGAGATGATAATAAATTAGATATGAGGATCAACCTTTTAAAATATCCCATATGGAAATAGATTCTTTTTTATTCCATCTCTGTGAACTTAATTTTTTTTAATTATGATTCAAGTTATATTTGTGATTTTTGGTTTTAGCAATTTCAATAATGAGAAAGTAATTTCACAAGGCGAGAATATAAGGAAAATGATAATGTATAACCGTTCTCAAAATAATAGTCGAAAAAATATTTTTTTTTATCAATATACATTCTATATATTTGTTGTTTTGTTTTGTTTTTCGACTATTAAATGTATATACTTTCTAGCACGGACTAAAAGTAAACACCCCAGGACTATACTCCAGCTAGACCCAATAACACCAATTGTTATGAACGTTTCTCCGTTAAACGTCTTGTTCATACTTAATTCGCAAGTGCAGACTGAATGAGGAATTGTAAAATTGGTACACATTATTGGTTCATGTGTGATGTACATGATAATTAGGGGTGTACAAACCGAATCGGAAAACCGCATCAAACCGAAAAGTTAAACCAAACCGATTAAAAAACCCGATTAGGTTTGGTTTGATTTGGTTTGGTATTGAGTAAAAAAACTCGAACCAAACCGACATATAAAGATATAATTTTTATATGTACTTTTAAGATTTTATATAGAATTTTTTTTTAAAAATGTCTAGAAATATTTGGGATTATCTTGCGGGATATATTATTTAATAGTATATGCAGTACTCTATATTTATTAACCTTAAATAATGGGTTATATGATCACTTTCTCATCAAGTGTTACTGAAATGCTCAAATCTCTTTGTTCTTCCATATTCATATCATATGTTAAGATCTATTAAATTGTTATATCTTTTTCGAATGTGAAATGATTATTATTATTTAGGTATCATATTGATTTTTGGGTTTAATTACTAAATTCGGTTAACTTTGAAAGTGTACATCAACGAAACATTATTGTCAGACGATTAAAAAATAACTATTACTATGTGTTACTAAGAAAATTCTCTCATAAGAATATTTTAATGGATAATATGTTTGTCAAGTTTTTATATTTTTATTAAACATATATTTACTTATCAAAATTTAACAAAGTAAGACTTAAATAATATGAAAGTAAAAAACCCCCGAAAAACCCGAAAAATTCGACAAAATCGAACTAATCCAAACCGCTATAGTTGATTTGGTTTGATTTTGATAAAAACCAAACCAATCCGGTCCATGTACACCTCTAATGATAACGATTGTTCGTGGTAAAAACATGTTAATTTTCGCAATTGAAAATTGAGAAAAATAAGCTAACAAATACAAAAGATAAGGAATTATTCCTATTCTTTTAGGTTGTGCCTGGTACAATAGATAAGCAAAAATAATCTTAAAACAAAATTTTAGCACCGTATTATCCTTTATTTTGTTACTAATTCTGAGATAAGTTATCTCAATGTTAAAAATAGCATCAAGATAATTTATGTCTGCCAAAGTGAAATAATAATCCTAGGATAAAACAGTAAAATTGACAAAATATAACATACCAAAGAGTCAATAAGAAATACTAATATCAAAATAACTAACCACGGCAAAACTAATCACATAATATAACGAAACACAACAAAACTTGTCTTCAAACCAAACAACCCCATTAAAGTTTAAAATGACACTCTATGATAGGCAGGACTAGGTTCTTCCTTACTTTAGAAAAAATAAAAAATAACCCAAAACTTCCAACGTCATAACTCAAATAACACAAAACTCCCAAACGTCGTAACCATTTAACAAATCCCATGTAGGAATCCTATCCGTCAATGATTCATTAAAATTGATTGATTCCAAGTCCAACAGCTCAATTCCACACTTAATCGTTGCCCAAACCACCTTTCACATGCAAGGCTTGCTCCAACTAATTTTCCCTCTCTTATTCTACTCTTAATTTGACTCTCTAAGAAAAGATAAGGACACGTAGAGGAAAAATATTGCAGTAGAAATTTTTCTTTTAGCAATCTTTCCTCCACTTCCCAACTGACCATCTTCTTCCTTTACCTTCATAAGCTGCCAAAAGGATGGGTTTTTTCCTTTCATAAAATTTCTATTACATTGAAGGATTAGAGAAGAGAAAGGGAAAAGTGCACAGTAAAAATTGAACAGACACCTACTGTGTTCAACATAATACTGGTTACTGCTTTCTTGGAATGTTATTTTAACGAGTTACAAGATTCGAAAGCCTTCACTCCATATGGGAACATTGTAACTACCTCCTTCCAACTAGAAAGAGGAAACAGACAAAAGGAGAAACATTCTAGGTATAAACACTTGCTACTTAAGCTCATCACTTCAGGAAATTTCAAGTGCCCTCAGATTTCTCCAATGCTGCCACAAAAAGAAGCAAAAGATGATTATGTTAGCATCAAATCCAGCTTCTCTTAACAGCAAGTATTGAGAAGTGATAAACCAAATGCAGCACCTTGGAAGATTTGAAATATCAAGAATATTATATAAATTTTAGCAGCTAAATTAGATACAGATGAACAACTAAGATCCCGTTGCACCTAAAATAGTTATTTAAGTTCGCCATTGGTTACAATGGAAACATACAGATAAAAGCATTAACTAACAGTTTTATCTGGTTTTCCCAGGTTCACCTCTCTGCGGAACATGAGTATAGTTTTTCTAATTGTTCTTTTGATGAGTGCATCAGCCATGTGGTTAGCATTTCCATATTGGCTTGGTCTTAAATAGCATCATAGTCTACTTTGTTGAGGTGATGCTGACTGCTTGAATAAAATAATAGGGGTAGCACAATTTCCAAATGTCCTGTCAAGGCACATATTTATAGGAAAAGCTATGGTGCTATTGCTATAGATAGATAGACCGACTGCCTAATGGAAGTGCACAACAGTCCGTGGTCATGATTATTGATTTGGTGATTCCATGATAACATGAAGGGGACTGGTGAAATGGCCTCCTACTCTGGAGCTATGCTTCTATCATGATACACAATAACTCTGTGGAAATGCTAATCTACACAGGTAATTAATCAATTCGACAGATGGCTGCGAGTTATTCTAAGAAGAGGTTTTATCAGCTGAATACATGATTAAGAGAGGAGAATAAGTCAAGAACAAGTAGTTTATTCACCATTGGTGGTATCAAAATATTCAGCAACTGAAAGTAAGTGCAACTCTTCCACTTCACATGAAAAGTTATGTCCATAAAGTAATCTTTCACCTTAATGCAAAAGTAATAGAGATGGAGGATAATTGCTTGAGAATTTTACATGTGATTATTGTGACAGCGCTGTCTATTGACACTGCACAATATCCTAAACCAATTCTAATGTGTTCAACTGCAAACCTCTAATACATCTTACAAGATTAACAAGGATACATTTATTAAATATAGCCCTGTTGATTGGCATTATAGGCTAAGTACACATTTATGCTCCAATATCAAGCCAAACGATTTGTAGCCACACACAGTCAATGGACCAAAAGTTCTTATTTCAAGCATACTATGTTAATCTACTTCTCACAACATCGTATGTATTTACAGAGAGGGAGAAAGGAGGGTAGTACTGTTGTAGTTGAGAAGCTTCTCAATGAGGTCAACATGTGTCATCAGCATTCTACGACAGCAATACCGTACCAAATTCAGTGCATCAAGAGCATCCCTACAGAAAGAGAGAATACATATTAAGAGATCCATGAGAATAACCCTGAAAGTGAAAGGATTTTACAGGATTCTGTCAGTTTCTTTCTGAAGCAAATAATTGGCATGGTTTTGTATAATTCCGCCTATGCAGAAGCAGATCTAAGATTTGAATTTTATGGGTTCAACTTAAGAATTCTACCACAGTCCATTTGAATCATTGGCTTTTTTAACACATATACAAGGTTTGAGCCAAAACTACTGGATTAATGAACCCATAACATTAAGACTACAGCAGCCCAGAGGCGGATCCAAGATACCGAGGTTCCGGGTGCCATACTGCTTTAAACATAGACATATTGTTATTTACACAATTCAAACAGAGTAAATATTAATAGGTCGGGTTGATCAACTTTAGATTTCAGTTCGAGTTATTCATCTTTTTAATTTACATAGAAGTTGTTAGCAGTTTCAAACAAGAGTATTAGACGCTGCTAATTTCCAACTGTACAACCACAAGGCCGGGTGATGTACGCAAAGAGGGTTAATATATCTAGTAACACTTCTTAGAGAGCATGGGTTGTCCTCAACACCACAACTAATAACACTTCTCAGCATATTGGTTGCCTGAATCCTAAAGTGCTATTCCAACGAACATAGCACAAGTCAGCGAGGAAATTCACATTGTGCAGAAGTGCTCTCCCTCACCATGGTATTCCCCGTCATGAAGTTCTACAATCTCATAGCAAGATTATGAGAGAAATTCTGAATCCTAATTTGCTTGGGAAGAGAAATTTGAAATATTGTGGATTTCTCTATCACTTTTTTTTAATCTATCACTCATGCCCTCAGAATTCAATGCCCTCAAACCATATTCAGTAGTAGAAACTGAAGCAAACCCACAAATGGCTATTGTCCTTTGCATTTGGCATACGGATTTGGTGAATTTATATCAATTACTCCTACTTTGCAACAATAACATACCAGCATAATCCCACATAGTGGGGTCTGAGGAGGGTAATGTGTACGCAAACCTTACCCCTAACTTATGGAGATAGGTTGTTTCAAATTCTCCTGCTTTATTAATTTATTTATTTTGTCAAAAATAAAATATTAAACTTTATTGGTAGCAATATTTATTTTAATCGATGCTCTTTTTATTTTTCTTGAAAGAAGAAAGAAGAGAAGAGGAGGAGAATAACAGATGATCGGCTGAAAAATGATAGTTTGGAGAAGGATCAACTGAAACACAGCATACTAAAAATGCATATCAACTGGGAATCGAACTCGCGCGCCTTGGGAGAGAAGGCTGACCCTCTACCACAGGCACCTTGCGCCACCTTATTACTCCGGGTGCCAAGATTAATATTTAGCCAATTTCTTCTACATACATACAACTACATACATATACATAGAATTTCAACCAAGTCGCCCGGGTGGCGTGGCACCCTCAAGCTTGTACATAGATCCGCCCCTGCAGCAGCCCCTATGCATATGTAAGATTTACATCCTAAAGCTTCACATTCTCTGTCAAGAGCCCGGATATGTTGACTAACAATGTAAAAAATAGTCCAATTATCAACTCTATTGGGATTGAGAGGTAGTCGCTGCCCATTTTCAGCTGGATTACCAAAAGTTCTCATTTTTAATAATTAGTTGTTCCACAATAGGAAACTATTGACCAATTCACATACCATTAAAATACCTAGCGGCAGTTTTTGTTGTTTTTTTGGAGGGGAGGGGGGTGTAAGGGGTCAGGGTATGTAGGGATTCTTACCCTTCGGAGTAATCAGCTTGGAGAAGATCAAGATATTCATCCCATTTGTTTCCAATGACCTAAGCATGTAAAGAAACAACCAATATTTGAACAAAATCAGTTCCACGAAATCAATTACTCAAAAATAATAAGAAAAAATCAGCTTCTTTTCTTCGGAAAATATATAAATAACAGGTTCTTTCGTTTCTTCTGAAATAATGAAGAATAAGAAGCAAAATTACCTTGCCACAGGTGAAACAGCGCACCGGAATGATCATCTTGCCAAAACCCTAGTTGAAGTTCTGAACTTCCAAGTTTGAAGGTTTAGCAGCTTGGTAGGAAAAAAATTTCACTTCACATATAACAAGTAAATGGGCCTGGGCTTTCATACATGCCTGATATGGATCTGCTCCGACCCGCAATTTTTTCTAAATAGAATGTGATATTTGGTGTTTTCTAGAAGTTGAAGTCTAATCAAATGCAACTCAATACTTTTTCAGAGGAACATGCATTAGACTATAATAGTATAATGATTTTTGGTCAAATACATATTCAATTTTTATTTTGGCACTCTGTCTCAATCTTGTTCCATTTTGGCCCTCCAACCTTATTTCTTATGTTTCACTTTGATACAAAAACTGAAACTAGGGCAAAAACTATAGCGCATGTATACATAAATCTAAGGTATAATAAACATCCAATTAAATGTTGCCACCTGATTTTTTCATCCATGTCAAACGGGTCAATACTAAAATATCCCACGAAAAACTAAGGCTGCTTCTTATTTTCTCTCTGAAACAAATCCCTACCTGACTTATAGCATGTTTGGCCAAGCTGGAAAAATCAACTTATTTTGAGAAGTACTTTTTTCAAAAGTGTTTTTGACTACTTTTAGAGAGAAGCAGTTTGTGTTTGGCTAATCAGTCTGAAAAACACTTTTGAGAAATAATTTGTGTTTGGCCAAGCTTTTTAGAAATTGCTTTTAAGTGTGAAATTACGAATAAGGACATGAATAGATTTACTTAATAATTAATATTATAAGTAAATAAATAATCTCAAAATTTTGTTATTACATGCAATAATTAAAAAAATTCATTTTACTTAAGTAAAATATAAAAATAAAATTTAAAAGTACTTAATTCTTTTAATATAAGTTAAATGTATTAAAATTCCTTCAACAAATATAAAAGCATTCACCCCTGAAGTCACTATAGATTGGAAAGTCTTCCTAAAAATAAGAAGAAATATTTATAAATTAATATCCTAAGTATTAGGTTTAAGGGTTATTTTGGTATATACTATATTTTGTTAAGGGTATTTTAGGTAAGAAGAAAAGTCAAAACTGCTTCTGCTTCTACTTTTGGAAAGAAACTACTTTTTTCTGCTTCTCTGAAACTGCTTCTGCTTCTTCCCAAGAGCACTTTTTTTCCCTAAATAAGCTTGGTCAAACACATCAAGTTAGGAAAAAAAATGTTTTTGGTAAAAAAAAAAAGAAGCATTTTTGGCCTCTCGAGGAGCTTGCCAAACAGGCTATAATAGTACCTTAAGCTCCTTCCCGAACCCCTAATCGCACATGATGAACCCATCATTTTCGGTGAGTTCTTCATCATCTGAAGACAAGAATGACATTTTCTTCATATTCATCAACACTCGAGACTGATTTAAAGAGTAGTTTTGATTGTTGTTGGCCTTATAAGTAGCTACTGTTTATTAACGTGGTTCTTGTACTGGTAAGTGTCGATTTGTCCATGCATTGCTCTTTTTTATCGTGGTATATTGGGAAATTGATACAAAAGCAAGGGTTTTTAATTTCGAAAAATAGTGGGTGAAGAATCTTCTAACCATGACTTTCTGCTTTTTATTCTTTTTCATGTCAGAGTAAATTCAAAAAATGACAGAGGAATATATTCTTGTTCGTTTCCACCATGGTGGAACTTTTACCAAAGCGTCTGACCCGAAATACATTGGTGAGAGAGAAATGAAGGTAACTTCTATTGACAAAGATTACTTTTCTTTTGTCAAGTTGAGCTATTATACAAAGGATATGGGGTAGGAAACTATTGGGGGACTCTATGTATTTAACTCTAATTCCAATGGTTTTGTTCTATTGGATAATGACAACCAGATTTTAAATATTGTATCTTACCTTAAACATGGTGCATTTCTTGATTTGTTTATTAGCCATATTGGTTTGCTGGAAGAGGAGGTCCCATTTGGCTTTTTAACTAGGCCTGAGGTTGGTGACAATTCAATAAATAAGAGGTCTAGGGCAATATTATATGGCTTAGAAAATATAAATGCACAACAAATTGCCATAGACAACCAACTTCACATTGAACAGGTAGAAAACAACACATATTTGACTGGAGAGGAAGAAAACACTAATCTAGGAGATGACAATACTATTTTACCTTCAGATCTGGAGAGTAGCGGATCTGAATTAGATGTTATACCCGAGGAAGATGAAAGTGAGTTAGATGAGGAGTGTAGAGCATTAAGGCAAGAAAGAAGAAGAAAACACAATCAAAAGCCAAAGAAACAAAGGAAGAATCCTACTCCAAGAGGTTGCGTTAGGAGAGGCTGGAGCAGACAAAAGATTTTATGACATTGAGAGGTCAAACAAAAGAGACAAGTATGTTGGAAGATTAGGGGGGATGAGGACTACTGCAGCAGTTCAGTATTGGAAGTGATGATAGTAGAAATGAATTGGATGTTCTAGCTGAAAGGGTTTTGACTTACCAGCTAGAATGAAGAGTAAAAAATTAAGGTTTGAACCAGATTGTAAAATAACTATCTTTGGGCTTAGTATGGTCTTTGGGAATGTTGTGCATTTTAGGAAAACAGTACAATCTTATGCTATAGAGTACGAAGTGCAGCTCAAACTTAAGCCTAATGAGAAGCACAAGATTAAAATAAAGTGTAAAAGTAAAAGGCTATATACATAGGAGTTATATGCAAGCACTGACAGAGATTCTGGTGACTTTATTGTGAAAAAATACCAACCAATTCACAAGCGTGCTACCAAAAATAAAAACAAGTTGTGCATTTCGAAGTACATTGCACACAAATGCAAAGACAGGATTATATCCCAACCAAATATTAAAATTTGGGAAATTAAGGGGTGGGTTAGGGATCAGGAAGGTGTATATGTGGGAAGGACTATATGTTATAGAGCTAAGTATATGGTACTCAAGCAGTTCATGGGGGACTAGAAGTTGGAATTCTCCAGGTTGTGTGACTATGTTGATATCATTAAAAGCACAAATCCTGGAAGTTCTTGTTGGATTAGGATAGATAAAGATATAAAACCTAAAAAGAACTTGTTTGTGTATTTTTATGTGTGTTTTGATGCTATTAAAAGAGGATGGTTATAAGGTTGTACGAAAATTATTGGATTTTGATCCTAGATCCACTTCCAATCAACCAACTCAATCAATGCCACCAGCTCTAACTAGATCATTTCAAAATAGCAATCCACCTTCAATGTGTAATGACACATTTGCAGTGAGAAGAAGTAGCCAAAATCAATCTGTTGGTATAGGCAGGGGAAGGGGTAGAGGTCTGGGACTTCAAAAGCCAAGGCCAGCAACAAGTTTTGGAGTATACACAGATATTAGGAGTGGAAGAACAATTATCAATGTAAGCTATAACTTATATTACTTTTCTATGGCTTTTAGCATCTAAGCAGTGACTAATTTGTATCATTTTGCAGCCCGGTATACTTTATGAGAGATTGATAACACCTGAAACTTACAAAGATACATCTGCAACAAATATAAATATTGGATTTAAGCCTCGTGGTCTCAAATGGAAGGGGGAAAATACAGTAACAACTTCTCAACTGCAGCAAATGCGAGCAACAACGAATATAGGGTCTTTTCAACAAAGTGTCACATCCTCATCTTCATTTGTTTCGGCCCAAGGAAATGGAAGCAACATGCAGTGTCTTTCTTTTGACAAAATAGTGGCACCATGTGAAGTCTTATGTTTTTGGCAGTTTTGTTTCAAGAATGTGATTTAAATACATTGTTATATTTTTGGCTTTTGGCAGCTTTATTACTTCTAAAAGTTGCAAACTTACGTTGTGTATTTTGAAAGAGTTGGTTTTGTGTAAAGAATGAAACTTTGGCATCTGGCAGCTCAAGTGTTATGTTGTTTGGTAGTTGATTTGTGCTTTATTATTGTTTGAGGCCTGTCAATATGAAGCTTAAAAAGTTTATTCTTTTGCAATTTACTATGTATCAGTCCTATTATTTTGAGGTAGAATAAGAAACCATATCCCTCGTTTGGTGAAATTATAGGCGATCAATATTCTCGAACTTAATTGGATGGAAGAGAAGAAATGAATCTAATTTGAGAAGGAAGTATGTTGGTGATCATTTACAACAATTCTCTTTGTTATATAGCATGCTTCCCAGCATTGTTGTTTTGTCATTTGTATGTTTTCGGTTTTCCTAAAATACTGAGTCCCCGTGTACTTGTAGATAAGATAAGGGTTCTAGCATTTAACTTAGTTTTAAGCTTTTGTACAATCTCCTATTTGGTTCTGCATTATTACATGATTCTTGAAAACAGGCAATCTGCTCCTCGTTCAAAGGAGCGAAAAATTACATCAAGCTTTTGATTCAAATTACATCAATAAAAATCGAAAAAACCTAGCCAATTCCATAGCATAAACACAACAAGAAACACAACTAATTTCTTCCAACTGCATCTCTTTCTTTTAATTTGTTTAGCAAATCATAAATAACCTTGTTCGCTTGAGCTGGAAACTCGTCATCATGCCATCTAAAGTAATTGCAATCACGCTTTCTTTTACTCTGTTTAGCAAATCTTGTTCGCTTGAGCTGGAAACTCGTCATCATGCCATCTAAAGTAATTGCAATCACGCTTTCTTTTACTCTGTTTAGCAAATCTTGTTCGCTTGAGCTGGAAACTCGTCATCATGCCATCTAAAGTAATTGCAACCACGCTGTAAAACACAAAAAAGAAAGCAGATGAATCAATGTAAACAAAGACAAGAAAATGACAACACTAAAAATGAAATCCAAAAATGGTTCACTTACTTTGTCAAATTTACACCCATAAACAGGGGCATCTAAAGTAATTGCAGCCACACTGTAAAATACAAAAAATAAAGCAGATGAATCAATGTAAACAGAGACAAGAAAATGACAATACTAAAAATAAAATCCGAAAATGGTTCACTTACTTTGTCAAATTTATACCCATAAACAGGGGCAGACGTACCTTGACTCAAGCGGTGTCTTGGTCGGAAATTTTTACTAAATACTAGTATATAAATATCCAACTGATACAAAGATGAAACAAGTAAATAAAGTGGCACTGCT